AAACCATTTCAGGTGACTACCTCTTGAAGCTCATGGAGAGAATGCCAAGAGTGTGCAAAGCAGTAATCAGAGCAAAGGGTGGCTATTTTGAAGAAACTAGAATATAAAACATGTTTTCAGTTATTTCACCTTTTTTTGTTAAGTACATAACTCCACATGTGTTCATTCATAGTTTTGATGCCTTCAGTGAGAATCTACAATGTAAATAGTCATGAAAATAAAGAAAACACATTGAATGAGAAGGTGTGTCCAAACTTTTGGCCTGTACTGTATATAGGCAAAAATGCTGTCTGTTGCTTCTTTAAGTGGTTTTCAAAAAATTCAAAATGGTGGAAAATCTATATAAGCGGAAGTTATGGGTTCTTGAGGCAAATGTGTTCCTCATGAGGAGAGGCATCTCTGTGCAAAGTTTCATGTCTCTATGACATACGGGGCATGAGATATGCCCATTCAAAGTTTGCTATTTCAATCGGTTGCTATAGCGCCCGCCTTTGGCCAATTGATGTAATATTGCTTCATTCACATCCTCCCATGACCCTCTACCACTGTGCCAAATTTCACATGGATTGACCAAGTCAGTGAGGAGAAAAACATGGGACAGACAGACAGACAGACAGAGTTTTCGTCATTATATGGTAAGATAACCCTACCTTTATCGGCTGCAGCTGAGATGATGTCTGTTTGAAGTGGTTGCATATATTAACACACGTGCACAGTAGAGACTGACATTTTTTCGGGAGTCCCACGGCAATCACGTGATCACGTGATTCCCGTGGGACTCCCACGGGATGGGAATCACTATTCGTCACGTGATTGGGACGGGATGGGGAAAAAAGTCAACGGGAGCGGGCGGGACTGGGAATCATAATAACAATAGTCAAGTTTTTATAAAGTAGTTGAATCTAGCTCCACCTCCAGCAGCTACAACAGTAACATGCTGCTCTAACACTGATGCTTCAGTATTAATAATCTAATGATGTCATATATAATAACATCAGTCAGAGGAACCAAACACTACTTTAACTACATTTTTCTCTCTCAGAACTGGTTCTTATGACGTGTTGTCTGACCACATCAGAAATCAGATGTGTTTCATTCTGAACAGCTTCAAGGTGGAGTGAATGTTAAAATAATTAGGCAATAAACATCAAAACACAACATTAGATGTCACATTTGGGTTTATATTCAACTAAGGCAGGCATTGTGTGATCCATGTACTGTATTTTTTATTTTTTTTACTGTAACTGACACACAACACGGGAGCGGGATGGGATGGGAGTCATTCTTGTGGGATTGGGACGGGATGGGATTTTTTTTTCTTTTTCATGGGATTGGGACAGGATGAGATTATTTTTGTGGGAGTGGGATGGGACAGGACTGAAAATCCTCTCCCGTGTCACCCTCTAGTGCACAGTGTAACTCCGCTGCTTGGCTACAGTGAGTAGAAAAACGTGGGACAGACACACCCACACACAGACAGAGTTTTCGTCATTATATAGTAGGGCTGTCAACGAATATTCTAAATTTGAATTTAAATTCTAATTTGGGAAAAAAAAATGGACCTTCGAATGTGAAAATTTATATTCGATTGTGGAGAAAAAACCCCCCACCGCAGCTGTCCTCTTTGTGAGTGGGAGTTGGCCTGGCCTGGACTGAACGCACTGCTTGACACATTCGTTCGCGGCTCGTGCAGAAAATAGACCAGACGCCGAAACGATCACTGCAGGGCGCGAGCCGGCCATGGTGTGGATGACACAATCGGTTAACATGGGCACCGAAAGGAAACTTGCTTTACTACTCGGTGCTTCGAGGCTATTTGCAGTGCTTCCGTGGGCGGTGTGGCGTGACAGGTCAGAGAGGGGGGGCGAGCGAGAGGTCCGCGGTCGTTTCTAACGTAATGTTATAGATAATTGTTTTATGTGTTTTAATGTGTAGGCATGTAAATGTTTTCAAAGACTTTTATGTTGAAATAAAAATACCTACAAGTAGTTATGTTTCCTTGTATTAATACATATACAAGTATGTTTCCTTGTATTAGTTTGCCCTCTTGTGGACATAATGCGAAAAAAAAAATATTCGAATGGTTTGAACCTATGAGTTATTTTTAGAAGGAATATTCGAATGTCATTTTTGAGCAATTTTGACAGCCCTAATATATAGTAAGATAAGATCTGAATGTTTCTGTCAGTTTCCTCCTCAGAGTCAACGTCATTGCGGCGTCACATGTAGCAGGTGTTTCAACATGTAACAGGACATCACCTGTTACCTTTAGTCCTGTTAGCTTAAGTCCTGTTACCTTTAGTCCTGTTACCTTAAGTCCTGTTACCTTTAGTCCTGTTAGCTTAAGTCCTGTTACCTTTAGTCCTGTTACCTTAAGTCCTGTTACCTTTAGCCCTGTTACCTTTAGTCCTCTTAGCTTAAGTCCTGTTAGCTTTAGCTCTGTTACCTTTAGTCCTGTTACCTTTAGTCCTGTTTGCTTAAGTCCTGTTAGCTTTAGCTCTGTTACCTTTAGTCCTGTTCCATTAAGTCCTGTTACCTTTAGTCCTGTTAGCCTTAGCTCTGTTACCTTTAGTCCTGTTAGCTTACGTCCTGTTAGCCTTAGCTCTGTTACCTTTAGTCTTGTTAGCTTACGTCCTGTTAGCTTTAGCTCTGTTACCTTAAGTCCTGTTACCTTTAGTCCTGTTAGCTTAAGTCATGTTAGCTTTAGCTCTGTTACCTTAAGTCCTGTTAACTTTAGTCCTGTTAGCTTTAGCTCTGTTACCTTAAGTCCTGTTACCTTTAGTCCTGCTACCTTTAGTCCTATTAGCTTAGTCCTGCTACCTTTAGTCCTATTACCTTCAGTCCTGTTAGCTTTAGCTCTGTTACCTTAAGTCCTGTTACCTTTAGTCCTGCTACCTTTAGTCCTATTAGCTTAGTACTGCTACCTTTAGTCCTATTACCTTCAGTCCTGTTAGCTTAAGCCCTGTTAGCTTAAGTCCTATTAACTTTAATCCTGTTAGCTTAAGTCCTGTTAGCTTAAGCTCTGATAGCTTTAGCCCTGTTATCTTAAGCTCTGCTAGCTTTAGCTCTGTTAGCTTAAGCTCTGTTAGCTTTAGTCCTGTTAGCTTAGGTCTTGTTAGCTTTAGACCTGTTGCCTTTAGTCCTGCTACCTTTAGTCCTGTTAGCTTTAGTCCTGTTAGCTTAAGCCCTGTTAGCTTAAGTCCTATTAACTTTAGTCCTGTTAGCTTAAGCCCTATTAGCTTAAGTCCTATTAGCTTTAGTCCTGTTAGCTTCAGCTGTGTTAGCTTAAGTCCTGTTAGCTTTAGTCCTGTTAGCGTAGGCCCTGTTAGCTTAAGCTCTGATAGCTTTAGCTCTGTTAGCTTTAGTCATGTTAGCTTAAGTCCTGTTAGCTTTAGCTTAGTCTCTCCACCAGACAATCAGAGATCTCCGCCTTCTGATAGTCTGGGGACACTCCTTTCTAAAGTGTGTTTAACACACCGGTGAAAATGGCCGGCAACAAAGTAACTCCTCTTGCATTTTTTAAAAGGACACGCCTTCTCGGAAATGTGCGCTCCCCCTTTTCTCATCTGCAAGGCAACAAACACACAGAGAGCTTGAAAATGGATGCCGAGAGATTTAACTCCGTTTTATCAAACGTGTGCTCAGTCCACAAGATTGTGGAAATGAAGGACTTACAGCGACTTTGTTTAAAACTTTTAACGCAGTCTGACTATGTTTACGAGCACAAGAGTTCAGTGAGCCACTGAAGGACCGCCCTGCGGATTTACTATTGGTTCTGCAATGTAGGGAGTTTTTTTAAACTCTAAAATTGTATCCGCCCATCTAAACACAAAATCAGGGAGAAAGTCATCAGTCTTTAGTTAAGCAAAGCGTCTAAAGACTGACTTGTGAGTCTAGCTTTAGCTCTGATAGCTTTAGCTCTGTTAGCTTTAGTCCTGTTAGCTCTAACATGTTAAACTGCTGTGTTTCTGTCCTCTGCCATAAACCATCTGCGGTTCATCATGTTGTCTCAGATGTGTCACAGTGATTGTTGACATGTGTGTTTTTATCTTTTAAATTTCACATTTATTTTCTCACCCAACACACGGAAACATTTCCCTCTGTCCACATGTCCACACGTTCTTTGTAAACATTCAGATTTAAAGAGTCTCCCATGAAGCCAAATCTTGTCGTCCTGCAGGAAGTCTGTGATGTCACGTCTTGCAGGAAGTGTGTGATGTCATCAGAACTAGTCGTTCATCACTGTCAATGATTCACATTTAAATAAAGGTTGAATGTTTCTGACTCTTCAATTGACAATGGTTGAGTCTCTGTGACATCATCAGTTTCCAGTCTCCTGTCAGCCAATCAGAAGTCTTCCTGCTCAGCTCGCTCTCTGGAGGAAACCCACCTGCTAACGATCACTTCCTGTTGAGAGAAAATCAATGACACCGATCAGCTGATGGATCCCTTCATTGATCACTGATTGATTTTGACTGAAGTTTTTCTCTGATACATGATGAAAACATTTCAGAACCGATCAGACTTATTGATTATTATTGATCAGGTACCTGAACCTTCAGCCTGCTCAGACAGACAGGTGAGTCTAGCTCGGCTTCTGATTGGTCGGCTGGATAGATGATGTAACACAACATCAGCTCCTGGAAAATAAACACAGTGACATCACTAACCTGATTCTAATCTCACCTGATGACATCACACCACCACCACTTGTTACCTTGGAGACGTTGGAGGTGATCCTGCTGAGAGCCGCTAGAGAACGCCACGAAAATGGACGCAACGCAGAGCCCCTGAACGCATCATCAACCCGTTCAACTACCACCGAATAACTAGGGGAAGAGAGAAGGGACAGTTTGTAGATGGAGCTGAAGGTCAGAAAACAAACGAGGAATACTTTTTAACGTGATGAAGACGGCGGCTCAGGGTCCTCACAAGGTCACAGAAACAAAATCACCTGTGTGTGTGTGTGTGTGTGTGAGTGTGTTACCTGGCGTGGTAGAAAGGCGGTCCCTTCCTGTACAACACTGAAAACAAACAGAGAAGTGTAAACCATAGACCAAAGGAGGCTCAAGGGACTGGTCAGGTGGTCTCTGACAGTTGTGTCCTATAGACCATGCCCCCAGGGGAGGAGCCTGAAATGGAACACACCTCTGTGTGTGTGTGCGTGTGTGTGTGTGTGTGTGTGCGCGCGTGCATGTGTCTTACTGAAGTCGACGCCATACTTGGCCCCACCCCCTCCTTTTGGGATCCACCCCCTGCTTCGACAGTGCTGATAGGCTGAGAACGAGCTGACGAAGTCGGGCCGCAGGGAACGGAACTTCCTCCACAGCTGGAGGACTGACAGCGGCTCCTGACCAATCACAGGACAAGACATGATGAGGTCATTAAAGGAGGAAATCCAAATGTAGAAGTAGGAAGTCAAAGTAAACGACAGACGGTCACCTGGTGCAGGTAGACAGACAGACAGCCCAAACTGTAGACCAGGAAGAAGGCCTGGAGGGACAGACAGACAGGTACAGGTGATGAAGGCCACACCCCCTACATGTTGTCTTGGTACAGGTGATGAAGGCCACACCCCCTACATGTTGTCTTGGTACAGGTGATGAAGGCCACGCCCCCTATGCTGTCCAGGTGTCCAGGGACAGCTGATGAAAGCCAAGCCCCTTACATGTTGTCTTGGTACAGGTGTGATCACCTGTATGTAAGTCATGGCACCCATCTTTACATACTCTCTGACTCCGCCTCTATGGCAATAGCAGCAAAGACTCATGGGTAATATGAACATGTGATGGTGTTACCTCCTCCAGACTGAGCTGCAGGTACTCTGAGACGGAGACAGGAGACTGCCGCACCTGTCGGACCTCCCCGCACACCTGTACACACACACACACACAAAGTATTTACATTATACAAAACACACTGACCTCTGAAGACAAAAGTATTCATGGACACAAGTCCAGAGTCTTGATCGTTCACACACTGAACTCATGATTTTAACTGGATTTGAAATTATACAAACTTTATTTTAGTCAGTGATCAGACAGTGCTGCTACTTTCATGTCGCGTTCAGACTCCATGACATCAGCGTGGTTACAGCCCGACGCAGCGTCGTACGGTGTCGTGTGGATCGTGAATGACGAGTGTCGTATGTGATAATGGGTTGTTTCATCTGGTGCAGTGAGTCCCCTCTGTCCCCTGTGTGTCCCTTCTGTCCCCTGTGTGTCCCCTCTGTCCCCTGTCTGCCCCCTGTATGTCCCCTCTGTCCCCTGTGTGTCCCCTGTATGTCCCCTACGTGTCCCCTCTGTCCCCTGTATGTCCCCTGTGTGTCCCCTCTGTCCCGTGTGTCACATCTGTCCCCTGTGAGTCATGTCTGTCCCCTGTGTGTCACATCTGTCCCCTGTGTGTCATGTCTGTCCCCTGTGTGTCACATCTGTCCCCTGTGTGTCATGTCTGTCGGGAAAGTCACAGACAGATTTTATGACATCATCAATTGATTTGTTCCGTGTGTCTCCTCTGTCCCGTGTGTCCCCTGTGTGTCTCCTCTGTTCCCTGTGTGTCCCCTGTGTGTCTCCTCTGTCCCCTGTGTGTCTCCTCTGTTCCCTGTGTCCCCTGTGTGTCTCCTCTGTCCCCTGTGTGTCCCCTGTGTGTCTCCTCTGTTCCCTGTGTGTCCCCTGTGTGTCTCCTCTGTCCCCTGTGTGTCCCCTGTGTGTCTCCTCTGTTCCCTGTGTCCCCTGTGTGTCTCCTCTGTTCCCTGTGTGTCCCCTTTGCCCCGTGTGTGTCTCCTCTGTCCCGTGTGTGTCTCCTCTGTTCCCTGTGTGTCCCGTGTGTCTCCTCTGTCCCCTGTGTGTCCCCGTGTGTCTCCTCTGTTCCCTGTGTGTCCCCGTGTGTCTCCTCTGTTCCCTGTGTGTCCCCTCTGTCCCCTGTGTGTCCCCTGTGTGTCTCCTCTGT